ACTGATTTTTATAGTGGCTGCACAAGTTGGCACTCCCATCCGCAATGGAGAAAGAAAAGTTCCCATTGCTCCATATCCCTACAAGCATTAGCTGTTGTAAGTGAGTGTTGCAACTCTGGGGGAAAGGTAGCCTGCCTGCCTGGGGGAGTCAGATGACACCTTGAGCTGCTAGGACAGCTCTGGCGGCTGGAGCTGTGATGGGACAGCTCAGCCCTGGAGGGAAAGGCATCCTGGAGTTGGGGTGCAGGGGGGGATGGTCTCCCCTCAGGATATAGCAATCCTGCTCCTCTCCTGGAGAGCCCCTACAGCTGAGCTTTGCTTAGTCCCCACTTAAGGAGGCTTCCTGGCAGAGCTCTGCTTCTCCAGTCTAAGATGTTGCTTCTTTTGCTTCACTCTGCTAAAGGCGAAACCCTTGCAGAAATTTAGCAACCTCCTCCGGCTCCGGCTCCGGCTCCGGCTCCGGCTCCGGCTCCGGCTCCGGCTCCGGCTCCGGCTCCGGCTCCGGCTCCGGCTCCGGCTCGGCAAAATGTGCTCCACCTTGCTCAGCCACCTAAGGGACATCTCATCAAGGTTCTTCTGTTCAGCTCTGCCTTTCTCAGCCCCTTAAGGGAACATCTCTGCTAGGTTTATTCTGCTCAGTCCCCTAAGAGACGTCTCAGCAAGGTTCTTTTCTGCACCAGCGAATAAAGATCTTCACACCCAAGATTTTTTGAGAAAGAGATTTATTTGGGAAGGAAGAGTCCAGGAGAGTGGCTGCCTCTACCAGTGTGGGAAAGAACAGCCCACAAGTGGTCAGGGTAGTTTATATAGGATCTCTTAGGGGCGGAGTTTCTCCATGGAGACGATTTTCTGTCCAGGGATTGGTTAGTTTCTTTCTGCTCAGAGACTAATTAGTTTTATTGGTCAGGGGCAGAGACGGCCCTGATTTCAGAGCCAAACTGTATTTCTTTTATTGGCCTTTCTTAGCTTTTTGGCTCTAACTCTAAGGCCAGGGCATTTTTCTTTCACTGGCTCTGATTCCAGGGACAAAGTGTGTTTCTTTGGCAGTGGTTTCAGAGTCAGGGCATGTTTCTTAGGTTCTGGGTTCAGGGATAAAGTGTTTCTTTCTCTGGCCCAGGTCCCAGATCTAGGCTGTGTTTCTTTCACTGGTTCTCGGTTCCAGGGTCAGGGTGGGTTTCTTTAGCCGGCCCCTTTTCCCTACAGCTGTTACTTGTATTATTGATCTTAGCTGTTCTGACAGGTGTAAGATGCAATCTCAAAGTAGTTTTGATTTGCATTTCCCTAATGGTCAAGGATACTGAACATTTCTTTAAGGGTTTCTTAATAAAATTTGAGTTTTCTTTATAGAGAATTCTCTGATTAGACCTGTAACCCATTTTTAATTGGGTTATTAGGTTTTTGATATCAAGTTTTTCAAGTTCTTTATATATTTTGGATATTAATCCTTTATCAGATGCAGAGGCAGTAAAAATATTTTCCCATTCTTTAGGCTGCCACTTTGTCCAAATAACAGTGTCTTTTGCTGTGCAGAAACTTTTCAGTCTCATAAGGTCCCATTCATCAATTTTTGATCTTAGTGTCTGCATTAATGGTGTCCTGTTCAGAAAGTCTTCTCCTGTGCCAATGCAGTTAAGGCTATTCCCCACTTTCTTTTGTATCAGGTTCAGTGTATCTGGTTTTATGTTGAGGTCTTTGGTCCATTTGGAGTTGAGTGTTGTGCAAGATAACAGATATGGATCTATTTGCATTCTTCTACATGTGGATATCTGGTTTGACCAGCACCATTTGTTGAAGATGCTGTCTTTTTTTCCTAGGGTGTATTTCTGTCATTCTCCATAATCTACCTGTCTTCTGCAGCGGCCAGATAGGAAAATTAAAAGGAGATGTGGTGGGAACCACCACCCCTGCATCTTTCAAGTCCTTGATGGTGGCACTCATTTCTACAGTTCTTCTAGTGATGCAATACTGGTTTGATTCACTATTGTCCCTTTAGAGGCAACTCTAAAGGCTTCCATTTAGCCTTTCCAACCATGTAGCCCTGATTTCACAGGTCAGGGAACCAATGTGAGAATTCCGCCAACTTTTAAGTATTTCTACTCCAATTACATATTCCGGGACTGGGGAAATAATGACAGAGTGAGTTCTGAGACCCACTGGACCTACTGTGAGATGGACTTCAACAAAACTCATTCATCACTTGACCTCCATAAGCCCCTACAGACCTCCATAAACCCCCGTGGACTTCCATAAGCCACAGTGTCTTAGGATCTCCGGGATCAGCGTCAATTCAGAACCAGTATCCAACAGGCCCTGGAAAATCTGATTGTTTCCTTTCCCCTGGTATACAGTTATCCTTGCAAAAGGCCTACAGGTCCTTCTGGGGAAGGGCTAGACAGAGGCTAACAGTTAAACTCTTAGGTATCTTATTAAGGTCCTTCCTCAGCAGAACCTGGCCGTCCCTTCATTCCAGGAGTTCTGGGTCTGCAAACTGGCTCAAGTTTGGAAATTGGTTCATGGGCCAAGATTCCCTTTTACCAAGATCCAATGTGACCTTTTTTTTTTTCTTTTGAGAATTTTTCCACTTACAGAGATCAAACAAAAATGCAGTAGACTTATCTATTTCATGCCTGGAAACACCATGACTGATTAGCCAGTACCAAAGGTCCATACAAGTCACACCATCATAAGAATACTTTGCCTGCACTGTCCCTTATGTGTCAGGCC